CAGGCTGGAATGCAATGGCATGATCTCGGCTCACTGAAACCTCTGCCTCCTGAGTTCAAGCGATTCTCCTGCCTCAGCCTCCTGAGTAGCTGGATTACAGGAACCTGCCACCATGTCTGGCTAATTTTTGTATTTTTAGTAGAGACAGAGTTTCACCATGTTGGCCAGGCTGGTCTTGAACTCCTGACCTCAAGTGGTCTGCCTGCCTTGGCCTCCAAAAGTGCTAGGATTACAGGCATGAGCCACTGTACTGGCCTGTGTGGGTTTTTTTGTTTGTTTTGTTTTGTTTTGTTTTTCTGAGACAGAGTCTCGCTCTGTTGCCCAGGCTGGAGTGCAGTGGCTTGATCTCAGCTCACTGCAAGCTCTGCCTCCCGGGTTCACGCCATTCTCCTGCCTCAGCCTCCTGAGTAGCTGGGACTACAGGTGCCCGCTACCATGCCCGGCTAATTTTTTGTATTTTTAGTAGAGACAGGGTTTCACTGCGGTAGCCAGGATGGTCTTGATCGCCTGACCTCGTGATCTGCCTGCCTCGGCCTCCCAAAGTGCTGGGATTACAGGCGTGAGCCACCGCGCCCGGCCTTGTGTTTTTTATTTTTAAAGGGACAAAACCTTGGGCAAACATGATCATGAAGTTTTAAGAGTTTATTAAGAGCATAATAAGAATACATCTCAAAGTCAGAGAAAAATTAGGGATGATACAATTGCCTGAGACTAGGGAAAGGGGAGGAGCCCTTCCAACACCAAAACCTGATGCTAAAAAATAACCAAATCTCAGCTATCTAGATTAATCCTCAAGGGTTCTAGCCAGACGTCATTTATCAATCATGTACTTTTTTCCTATAAAGTTCAATCTCATTCTCAAATTCTCTCCTACCTAGCATCCTAGTCAGCCACAATGAATTGAGCAAAGTTGGGACACAAGAAGAAACCCATTTTGCCATCTTTAGTGTAATAACACAGGGAACTCTTGGAGCTCAAATTATAAAAGGACATGTACAATAAATGGAAAGTGGGGCACAAATCCATAGTGGAATGGGTCCACATGAACAATGGCAGAAAAAGCAAAGTCTAGAAGGAGTTGTTTGTTTATTTAAAGTAAAACAAAACAGAAACAAAATTTCTATTTATTAAAATAAAGGAGGGTGTTAAAAAAACAGATGTAGGTGTCTCTGCTTAGGGAAGAAGACCCAGCATAAACAGAGAAGGCAGAATTCTCCAGCTTCTGGGTTTAATTCCACATCTTCATTAAGAAGAATGATCTTCACCAGGAAAAAGAGAACAAACCTGGTTAAAAGAGCCTGAAAGTCCATGATGGGGAGGAAGCACAGGAAGCCCTACTCTCCTGTAGTTGAGCTCCAGGCCCAGCTATCGGTGGTGCCCCAGTGACATAAGGGAATTTGGGCTTCAGAAACCTCTTGGGTGATCTCTAAGGAATCAAAGGGAAGGGGGAAAAGGCCAGAATATTAGAAATTGGCACACAGCATTCTGATTTTGAAAGAAGAGGAAAAACAAATTCCATAGCCTATCATCAACCTCTGCAAGAGGCTAAGCAGCACTGCTAACCTTGGCAGATTTCAGAGCACACAGGAAAGGAGGCAGCAAGAAAAGGCAAACAACTGAGTAGAAAAATGGGCAGAGGATAGGTACAGGAAATGCACTTAATAGGAAATACACGTGGCCATTGAGCTGGGCATGGTGGCTGGTGACTGTCATCTCAGCTACTCAGGAGGCTGAGCTAGGAGGATTGCTTGAGGCAAGGAATTCAAGACCAGACAGGGCAACATAGTAAGCCTGTCTCTAAAAAATCTTTTAAAATTAGCCAGGCATGATGTGGTGGCCCACAGCTGAGGTCCCAGCTACTAGGGAGGCTGACGTGAGAGGATTGCTTGAGCCCAGGAGTTCAAGGCTGCAGTGAGCTATGATCATACCACTGCACTCGAGCAGTGAGTGATAGAGTGAGACTCCGTGTCTTTAAAAAAAAAAAAAAAAGTGGAAATATAAAAGATCTTCACCGTCATGGAAATATACATTAAATTAAGATAATCAGATACTATTTATGTGTCAGGCCAGTAAAATTAAAAGATAATATCAACTATTGGCAAAGATATGGGGAAATGACACACTCACTAGTGGAATACACAGCCCTTTTTTTTTTTTTTTTTTGAGACAGAGTGTTGCTCTGTCGCCCAGGCTGGAGTGCGGTGGCCCGCAATCTCTGCTTACTGCAAGCTCCGCCTCCCGGGTTCATGCCATTCTCCTGCCTCAGCCTCTGAGTAGCTGGGACTATAGGTGCCCACTACCACACTCTGCTAATTTTTGGTATTTTCAGTAGAGATGGGGTTTCAGTGTGTTAGCCAGGATAGTCTCGATCTCCCGACCTCGTGATCCGTCCACCTCGGCCTCCCAAAATGCTGGAATTACAGGCATGAGCCGCCGCGCCCGGCCACACATTTTTTTTTTAAAGGGCAATTTAGTGGTATTGGTTAAAATTAAAAACGTGTTATACTTTTACCCAGCAATCTGAAAGACTCACACATGCAGAGGCTTGTAGAAGGTTAATACAGAAATTTTAAATACAGGTTTTAAAACTACACTACAGTACATCTACACTGAAATACCATATGAGTAAAAATTAAAGGTGATTCATATATACTGATATTTAGTGATCTTTAAGACATCATTATTCATGCTTTCAGAAAGCACAAGAGAAACTTACATATAAGTGCATATACATATATAAAAATGCATAGAAAACAGTTTAAAAGTCAATTAACCTGATTATAGAGATTACCTTCGGAAGGTGATTTGGGATATCTTTGTCTTTAGTTTTTGCATTTTTATACTGAGAATGTTTTCATTCATTATATAGTTAAATATACAATTAATATACATTTAAAAATTTGTATGTACTTAACTATATGTATACATATATATACACACACACGCACATATGTATATATACACATAGTCAGCCTTCTGTATCCAGGGTTTCATATCCACGGATTCAACCAACCACAAATTAAAAATATTTAGAGGGGAAAAAAAGGATGGTTGTGTCTGTAGTGAACACATGCAGACTTATTTTCTTGTCATTATTTCCTAAACAATACAGTATAACAACTATTTACATAGCATTTACATTGTATTAGGTATTATATGTAATCTTGCAATGTAGAAATGATTTAAAGCATGTGCAGAGGTTATATGCAAATACACTATTTTATATAAGGGACTCTGAGTATTCTGGTATCTGTGGGGTTTCCTGGCACCAGTCCTCCATGGATACAAAGGAATGACTATACACATATACTGTAAACATATATGTATATTAAAAGAATGAAGAATAAAGACCAGGAAACAGTGACTGTTGAGGACTAGCTTGTGCACTAGGAGTAAGATGTGTCAGATCTAGCCAGTTTCCTTCTCCTTCGGTGAGAAGGGAGATGCCAACCACACCGTGAGCTGAGCCCCGCAGGCTCAGGCAGAGCCTTTCAGATCATTATTATAGAAACAACAGAAAAATGCAGGCTGGATGACAATGCTAGAAAGTAGAGCCAAAATTGACTGTTACTGATTCAGGGCCCATGTGGAAGCTCCTAGGGCAGTCTTTGGTCCTGTCCTGTTCAATATCTTCATTCATTCATTCGTCTCATCTCTCACTTACTCACTCACTCAAAGACATTTGAGAGCTTACTATGTGTCAGATGTTGTGCATTGAGATATAAAGACAGGCCGGGCATGGTGACTCACGTCTGTAATCCGAGCACTTTGGAAGACTGAGGTGGGTGGATCACTTGAGGTCAGGAGTTCAAGACCAGCCTGGCCAACATGGTGAAACCCCGTCTCTACTAAATACAAAAAATTGGCTGGGCATGGTGGCGGGCACTTGTAATCCCAGCTACTCAGGAGGCTAAGGCAGGAGAATCGCTTTAACCCAGGAGGCAGAGGTTGCAGTGAGCCAAGATCGTGCCATTGCGCTCCAGCTTGGGCGACAAAAGCGAGACTCCGTCTCAAAACAAAACAAAACAAAACAAAACAAAACCAAGATATAAAGATGATCTCTGCTTTAAGCCTAGGATACTGAAAATTAGAAGGGGGAAACAAAAACAGTGTGAAAAATGCTCAGACTGAAGTGCTATGTGAGCTTCAGAGGGAAGAGCCTGACCATACCCTGGCCTCTTGATGGAGGTCACTATTTATACCTCTATTTATATTTCATGAGGTCTGTATGCTGCATGAAAGAGATCATAAAGCTAGGAAGTACCACGAATTCCGAAAACCACATATATGTGAGGTGGAAAGATTCACAAGCTAAACATACCAGTGCAATCCATTTTCAGTCACTAAAAAGTTCCACCCTTAGGTTGCAAGAGAATACGCTTCAGTTCTGAGGCCTCACTGAAAGAACACTGTCAAAGAGCAAAGTGTCAGGATAGGAAGGAATGGGCCCAATGTGAGATGAAGGCCAGATAAAGGTATACCCAGACTTTTTCAGGGCCACTCTGATCTCTCTCTCTGAGCCCTTGACTTCACTCATATTCCTCTTGTTTTCTCTCAGGGAATCACCTACAGCCAACAGACTCAGGAATTTCAAGATCTCTGATTATATGCTTGGTTGAACTATTTCAGAGAGAGAGCAACTGGAAGATCACTCCCAGGTCAGGTCCCAGCAACACGGCAGTTAGTCTATAGCAGATTTTCAGTTTGCAAGACCTTTCTTGATTGTCCTCTCCCCACCTGGTGCCCCAAGGTTGTCCCTTCATACATAAGAGAAGAAAAACCGAGAAGCACACACATGCCAGTTTCCATGGCTGTGGATCCCAGGCAGTCATTTCACCCTTCCAGGCCTTAGTGTTTTTGTTTAATGAAGAAAGTTTATAAAGAGAGGGTAATGCTTAATACAAGTGAGCAAATGGAATCTCAGGCACCCAAGAGGACCTATCTGGGTCCCAATCCTAGTGTAGGAGGTGCTGTGGCAGGGACTCTCCATCAGGACTAACCTCTTCAGTGATGATCGAGACAGCACCTGTGCAGCCTGGTTCATGGCCCTGACCCAAGCGTTCATGTCCTCCTGGGTGTCGGCACTGAAGTAGTAGGTCCTCATGCCCGACTGCTCGGCCTGAGAGCCCGCCATGGAGCTGTTATAGATGAGCGCTCGCATCCCTGTGTGCACAGCCTGTAGCATGAAGACAGAAATGCAGGTCAGAGGGAGGTTATCACACATTTCCTTTATAGGAGCAGAAGCAAGGAGGCACTATGGCCCTTTCAGACTAAAAGTCCAAGCACCACCCAACTTGTTTCCACTCCTAGAAAACGTCATAGGCTAGATTTCTCTTTCTTAGTGCAGCCAGGCCGTGACAGCTGTCTGCTCCCCACAGTAAAAGCCCTGTAGCTGTAACTGTTTCCTACTTATCTTACTCCTGCTTTGGGGGTTGGGAGTGTGCACAAAGTCAAGGCTTATGTGAGAAACAGGCTTTTCAGAAAACCCTCATTTCATAAAGGCAGACTCTTGGGAATCCCTGTTTTGTTTTTGCTGAAGCCTGCGATTCCTGCTTTGGCTATAATCAGACAAGAATTGACTCAAAACTGGCTGCAACAGCAGGTGGCTTGATGTGGATGTTCACTGTGCTTCACTGCTTAGGCATGAAGTGTGATGTGTGCTCCTGAAAGAAGCTGCTGTTCTGTCTCTCGAAAAGAGGCACTACAGGATGTGAGGGCAATCTGGCTGTGACATCTGTCACCCCACTGATCACCAGGATTGATGTGGCTAATCCAGCTGGCTAAGCGGGTATCCCCTTCCTCCCTCACTGCTCCATATGCGTCCCTCCTGAAGCTGCACACTCAGTCGAAGAGGAAGACCATCCACGATAGAGGAGGACTGGTCTTCGGTCAAGGGTATACAAGTAGCTGCAGTCCCCTGCTAGAACCTCCAAACAAGCTCTCAAAAGAGAGGCATTACAGAGGTGGACAGAGATGACCAACAGTTAACTAAATATTCTTGCAAACCTACACTGTCCTTCTGCCTCAAGGTGCTTTCACATGTATCCTTGCAAAAAAAAAAAAATCTCGAAAATAGGTACTCAGAATGACCACTGAAAAATGACTGGGAAGATTTGCAAATCAGAGACAATACCAGTTTTTCCCCTTGTGCTCTGATAAACCAGAGAGCCATCTTTTAAGTTTGCAAGCAACAATCTCACCAAATCTACATAAGAAGATGATGTGAAAAGAGGAAGATTTCCTGAGTACCTACTGTGTGTGTCCTAGGTACTTCCACAATTTAATATCATTGTAACTCTTAACAGCCTTGAGAGGTGGAGACAGAATCTCTGTTTTACAGATGTAGCAAATGAACCTCTGAGATGTTAAGTAACTTTCCCAGATTTCCACACCTGGTAACAGATTCTTCACAGCACTTACCATTACCTGATGCTATTTATTTTACACACTTATTACCTGCTTATCATCTGTCTCCTTCCTCTATAAATATAAGCTACATGAGAGTAGAAACTTTGCTATTTTGTTCACTACTATATCCCCTGGAACAGTGCCTGACACATAGCAGATGCTCAATAAACATTTGTTGAAAGAACGAAGCGTTAGAACCCAGGTCTGACTCCAAGTCCAGGCTTCTCTGTATATTGCTCCCAGGTACTATCCAGAAGTGAGGGTGATTACACAGATAACTGGTTAGATACTCTGAATCCAGCATGAAAGGCAGACCCCATGCAAGGACCGGGCAGAGAAAACAAAATGAGAACGAATGAAAAACTGGACAATGTCATGCTTCTGGAATCACTAATGGTCATAGATGAAAACCTCTCAAATGAACCTTCAGCATTTACTTCTCCTCCCTGCCCTCTTAAAATCCAGATCTAAAATGCATAGTAAATATGGGCCTGCTTCTGACATTTACATATCTGAGTCCATCCAGCTCAGTGCCAAGGGAGTCTAGGCAAACTTGGCCTGCAGCCAAGGATCCCTATAGTGGCTGAAGCAAACCTGATATCCTTCCTTTGCATGTATAAGGTATTCACTATTACAGGAAGGATTCCTTCTATTTTAAGCAAGGTGGAAATATGCCAATAAGAACAGAATAAGGCAGGGCGCAGTGGCTCACACCTGTAATCCCAGCACTTTGGGAAGCCAAGGCAGGTAGATTACCTGAAGTCAGGAGTTCAAGACCAGCCTGGGCAACATGTTGAAACCTCGTCTCTATTAAAAATGAAAAAAAAATTCCTGGGCATGGTGGCGCATGCCTGTAATCTCACCTACTCGGGAGGCTGAGGCATGAAAATTGCTTGGACCCAGGAGGTGGAGGTTGCAGTGAGTTGAGATTGAGCCATAGCACTCCAGCCTGGGTGACAGAGTGAGACTCTGTCTCAAAGGAAAAAAAAAAAAAGAACAGAATAAGAAGGAACCTGTGCATGTCTTACTGAAAATCAGCAAAAATTCTTGGAAAATATCCCTTGGATAATGATCCCACAAGATCTCTGACACACTCTCCCAGCCTTTTGTGCCTAGCTATAGAGGATTCTGGGACAGGTGCCTATCCCAATACACACAAGCATGGGGAGCCCTCTAACGTACAATAAAGACAGTAGATCCCTGCTGTACAAAAATTCACAGAGCCAGCCTTGTCCAGGAAATCAACATGGGACATGCCTCAAACATGCAGACATGGGTTTGCATGTCTATTTGCAAATGAGCCTTGAGAGTTACATCCACCATTATGAAGGAGTTACACATGATTGCAAATATAACCCTGGTCACTAATAAATGAGCAGGTGCTGTGCCCAGCTGCTGTTGACTCTGAAGAGCAGATTCCAACTGCATTCTGCCTGTGTGAGGGCATATACGATGGATTAACTGTGAAGGCAAGAAGTACAGAGAGTTTCCTTTTAATCTGGCCAAGTGACCCCAGTCCAAAATGTCCTGAGCCTAGGACCCAGATGATGTGAATCTTCTCACTCCTGCCCTAGTGTCAACTCAGAGATGGTACAGTTTTCTCTGCTCCTTGCTTTCCAGTTAACATAATCCTATGAAGCAACTTTGCATAACTGAATAGAAAACAAGCTATGCCTAAAGGAAATCAGGATGTGAGTGAAGAATTTACTTCAAAGACATGACACTCATAGGATATGGTTGCTCTCCTGGCTCTTGGACCTCAGTTCTAGACACAGCACTGGTGAAGGAGTCAGAATCCTCATGGTTCAAGCCTCCAACATCAGCCTTTAGAATAGAGAAACCTCAGTGGAAAATACAGGAGCACCCAGGGCCCATCAACTGGCTGGTTCATTCTGGAACTTGTTCAACAATAATGAATCATTTATTGAGTATTTACTATGTGAAAGGTACCCTACCAAAGTTGGAGGGACAGCATTAAACAAGGTCATGATAGTTTATAGCCACATAGAAGAGAAATACTATGGACAAGTAACTACAGCTGTAGTAAGTGTCATCAAGGTCAGGATGCTGTGAGGAAGATAACAGGGGAGCCCAGCTTGATCCCTGAGGAACTGACATTGCAGCTGCCTTCTACATAGCAGGTAGCCATTTAAGTAATAGCAGGGAGGAGCTAGGTAGCACCCCATGAAGGACACGTGCACACAGTGTGTTCATCTTCAACGATGAGGCCAGCATGACTGGCGCAGAGGAATGGAGGGAAAAACCGCATAAAGGGATGCTGCCGAAGTTGGCAGGGCCAGACCACCAGGGCCTTGCAGATCATGTAGGGTTTTGTCTTCATGAAAGAGCAATGAGAAACTATTAAAGGGTGTTTTGTCTTGTTTTGCTTTGTTTTGAGACAAGGTCTTGCTCTGTTGTCCAGGCTGGAGTGCAGTGGCACTATCTTGGCTCACTGCAACCTTCTCCTCCCTGGTTCAAGCAATCCTCCCACCCCAGGCTCCTGAGTATCCTGGACTACAGGAGCACACCACCATGCCCGACTAATTTTTGTATTTTATGTAGAGATGGGGTTTTCCCATGTTGCCCTGGCTGGTCTCAAACTCCTGGGTTCAAGTGATCCACCCACCTTGACTTCCCAAAGTGCTGAGCCACTGCACCCAGCCTTATTAAAGGGTTTAAACCGGGGAATGATGTGATCAGATTTTGTTTGGAAAGACCACTCTGGCTGCAGTACAGAGAAGAGGTGCGAATCAGCAGAAACAGGTGAGGGGGGATGGGTCAGGAGGCTACTACAGGAGCACAGGTGAGAGATGGTGGTGGAGGCAGAAAAGGGGAGGAGCAGACAGGGTCTGGAGAGAACTTGCAGGTAATATCTGCAGGCCTTGGTAATGGACTGGATATGGGAGGAGAGAGAACACCAGGTATAAAGGATAAGAGTCTCGAGTTTACAACTTGCAGAGGCAGTGGTGACCATTTATTGAGATTAAGAAAAGGGGCCGGGTGCAGTGGCTCATGCCTGTAATCCTAGCACTTTTGGAGGCTGAGGCAGGTGGATAACCTGAGCTCAGGACCAGCCTGGCCAACGTGGTAAAACCCAGTCTCTACCAAAAATACAAAAATTAGCCTGGCGTGGTAGTGGGCACCTGTAGCCCCAGCTACTCAAGAGGCTGAGGCAGGAGAATCTCTTGAACCTGGGAGGCAGAGGTTGCAGTGAGTGGAGATCACGCTACTACACTCCAGCCTGGGTGACGGAGCGAGACTCCGTCGAGGGGAGGGGAGGGGAGGGGAGGGGAGGGGAGAAGAGAAAACGAGATTCTCATGTCCAACCTTTAGGCTGACTACAAGCAGTACAGTGAACAGGGTAAGAACTTGGGCTCTTGGAATCAGCCTGAGGTCCAAGATGGACTCTGCCTCTTGCCCACTGGGTAACCCTGGGTAAATTATTCAACTTCCTCATGCTTTTGTTTCCTCATACTTAAAATGGGACTATGGGTAAAAGTAGCATTTACCTTATAAGGCCACGTGAAGATGAAATGAGACATACACTGCTTAGAGCACAGCCTGGCATTTGTAAGGCTCAAAAGATGTCAGCTGATGTTACTGAAGGAGCAGTCACTTGAGCAACCTAGGGAGGTTGGCTGAAACAGCATTCTGGAAACTTTAAGACTCTTCTTCCTCCCTCCCCATCACAAATTTATAGGGAACTAAATACAAAACACAAGTAAGCCTGACCCCACCATATCTTGGGAAGTACAAGCACTGTCATTGGCCACAATTCCAATTACACATGAACACTCCCTGTGGTCTCTGTCTACAGAATGGGACTAGCAGAACTAGCTGATGAACCAGTTTTCCCGGTGAAAGGTCTGGGTGGGTGAGTCAACCATTTACAGTGCAGTGAGACAAAGCTGTGGAAGTAGAGAAGAAGGATATTTAACCTGTCCAGAGGGCTCAGAGAAGGCTTCCCAGACAAGGTGACCTTGAGCAGAGAACTGAAGGACAAGTAAGAGGTGGGAAAGGGCATTCCAGGCTGTGGCTGAAGTTTAAGTAAAGGTCTATAGGCAAGAAAGGTCCTGGGGCCTTAGGCAATTGTATATGGCTAGAGGAAAGACATAAGGTAGGAGTGGCTAAAAATGTGGCTGGAGATATAAGCTGGGGCCTCATGAATCACAATTGGCTTAATCAGCTGGGCACAGTGGCTCACGCTTGTAATCTCAGCACTTTGGGAGGCCAAGGCCAGTGGATCACCTGAGGTCAGGAGTTCGAGACCAGTCTGGCCAACATGGTGAAACCCCATCTCTACTAAAAATACAAAAAAAAAAAAAAAAAGCTGGGCACAGTGGCAGGTGCCTGTAATCCCAGCTACTCAGAAGGCTAAGGCAGGAGAATCGCCTGAACCTGGGAGGCGGAGGTTGCAGTGAGCCAAGATTGTGCCATTGTACTCCAGCCTGGGTGACAAGAGCGAAACTTTCTCAAAAAAAAAAAAAAAAAAAGATTGGCTTTATCCTGAAAGCAATGGGGAACCACTGAAGGGCTTACAGTGGGAATACAACTGGAACAAGGGTGCAACTTAGGAACAGCATAAAGGATGAACTGTAGGCTGCAGAGGAGTTCCAAGGCTGAATCAACCACAGCTAATGCTTACAGAGCACTTACTATACACTAGGTCCTGCTCCATAGTGTGCTCCCCAGGGGAGGGACGGTAGTGGCCAAGACAGAATAGTGGCAGCAAAAGTGGAGAGGAGGAGATGAATTTGATAGATATACAAAGAACAAAATTGAAAGGAGAGAGAAAAAAGGCAGCTCTTTCTTGGTGTCTTCTCATTCTATAATAATACACATGCTGATGCAAACTTGAGAATATAACCCCTAAAAAAGCAAGGATTTTGTCCTATTCATTGCTGTATCTAGCATTTATTATACTACCCAATAGACAATCAGAGCGTGCAACAGAAGTTTATAAAATGGAACTACATAAGTGAAAAACTATGCCTCTTGGCATGTCTTCAGAATCTAGAGCAGGGACCTGAACATTTTTTATGGCATGGACACTTTCAACAGTTTGATAAATACTATGAACCTTTTCCAGACTGTTAAGCATGCAAAATAAGGGAAATCTATTATACTGAAATATAGTTCTTAAAATATTTTTTAAATGTGTGGTCTAGTGATGCAGGTGTTTGTTTACTAACGTACTGCATAATGGATCTGGTGGCAGATGTAATAATTATTGTGATTTTAAAATGGTGATGAGCATAAATGATATTTCAAGATACCTGCAACAGCTGTAATGTGTTATGAAGATATCTATAGTTTCTATTGGTGACCAAGTCACAGGTACTGCTGATACACATTGTGACCTGCTTTCTTAATTGAAAAAAATGTTACCTTTCAGCTAAAGGTTAAAAAGTAGGCCAGGTACAGGGGATACTCTGAATTATCTCCGACAAGGTACCCTAGCACCAGTCTGAGAACTTCAGCTCTATATATACAGAGAAGGACCAACATCAAAGGCAGGTATCAAGACCAGGCACAAAACACTGTGTATTCCTTGGTTTGCCCAAGAATATGGACCCTGAGCGGCATGCCCCCAGGGCCTACCCTCTGGCCCCTAAAAGAAGGATGCTGCAACCCAAATGAAAAGATAACTCTTTCAGACTCACGAAATCATTGCCCTTTCTGGAGAACCATCTAAACACCACCAGATCTGTCTGTAGTAGCTTTTCTCTGCTCTCAGATCCTGAGGACCTCAAAGACCTCTCCCAAACACATGATGCCTTCTGTCTCTCAGACAAAAGATTTAGGGAACATTCTCAGTAAAGTCTTTCTAAGAAAAATGTTAAGAAAAGAAAAGAAATCTAAGACAGATTAAAGATGTTTGCCTAGAATCTACTTTCACACCTCCAATGAAGTGTTAAGATAAAAAAAATATATATAGTTATGATATGTTACTTTAAGGATATGCCAAATGTTGTTCCCAAAACATCATATGCAACAATCACTATCCCAATTGTTTGCCCAACTGGGCAGTGCTCAACTCTAGAAAGGAGGGTTTTCTAAGGAAGATTTTTCAGGCTGTAAAGGATGAATCTGAAAGCCACTGAACAAAATGTTTTCAGAGCCAGGAATAAGTTTCTAAAATGATACAATAAATGTCAATTCAAACCACCTTCTACCTCCTGTGATGTCTGTGCAGCAAGTGATCAAGATAAGACATGGAAGAAAAGCTAGGAAGAAGAGAAAATAATACAAAGTGGGAGCCCTATAAGAAAACTGAAAGAGAATAGAATTCAAGGCCAAGTCTGCCTCTGTCATCTTCCAGCTTTGTGACTTTGGGCAAGTTTCTTAAGCTCTCATATCCTTCCCTCACCATGAGCATTAAATGAGGTCACATGTATAAAAGTACTTCCCAAATCATGTTTTAAAGATATAAGGCAACAGTATTCCACGCATGAACGTGACACAGAGCAGTATCCCAGGATCACCAATCCTAGCAATTCTGGAGTGACACTCAGTAGCATCACTCGAGGGAAAGAGAAGAACAACTCAAACCTGTTGATGAGTAAAGCCACAGCATCAGCTCAGTTCTGTGCCTCCTTAGGAAGGAAAAGTAGAAGGAAGATGAGACTGACTTTCCAACCACCAGCACCACCATGGCTCCAGATCAAGATGTTGATGGAGACTCTGACTTTGCAAGCCCCTCACAGATGAAGGACCAGCTGCAGACCAACACTTTCCTTTAACCCTTCCAGACAATGACAGGCATCTTACCTTGAACTTTCCCATGATCCTTTATCTACAGCTGGAAAGCATGACTTCTGTTCAATCTTTTTTTTTTTTTGAGACGGAGTCTCGCTGTGTCACCCAGGCTGGAGTGCAGTGGCGCGATCTCGGCTCACTGCAAGCTCCGCCTCCCGGGTTTACGCCATTCTCCTGCCTCAGCCTCCGAGTAGCTGGGACTACAGGCGCCCGCCACCGCGCCCGGCTAGTTTTTTGTATTTTTAGTAGAGACGGGGTTTCACGGTGTTAGCCAGGATGGTCTCGATCTCCTGACCTCGTGATCCACCCGCCTCGGCCTCCCAAAGTGCTGGGATTACAGGCTTGAGCCACCGTGCCCGGCCCAATCTTTTTTACTACCCACTGTCTAGTATTCATCTTGTGCCCCCAACATGGAAATGGCCAAGCAACAAGTATAGTGGGAGCAGGAGCCCCTACTCCAGCTTGAAGTGTATGACACTGCCTCATATCTTAAGCAGCCAAGAGAGGGCTGTGCCCTGTGGCAACTGGCACCAAGGGCTGCTTGCTTCAGTGCTCTCTAGGATGTCCACTCTGCCTAGGACACCAACTGCCAGTAAAGCAGATCTTCAATCCACCCCACCCTTACCTTCCCTGGGGGACCCAAGATCTTAACACCTGCAGTGAAGGAAATCCATGGAGACCACCAACAGAGAAGACCTCAGGACTCCCTATGTTTGAGCCTAAACACACCTTCCAAGAGCCTCCACACCTGACAGGTGCTACAGGGCGAAACTGCCATTAATTATCATGGCCTCACTCAGCCCAAATGGTACAGACACAGAACAAGTAGGAAAGGGGTTTTACTGGTAAAGGGATCTGCCTGGAAATCTTCTATGATCCAGAAGATAAACCAAATTTCATTCTAATTGCTTTTCAACAAGATAAACAAAGTGGACAAAGCTGACAGCCTCTTCAACACACAGGCCTCTAACCTTCAATGTGAGTTTTCATAATATAATGGATACAAACCCATTATGAGGGGTCACCAGTTGCACGAAATGGCTGGATGCTAGGCTGGCTGAGTACGGTGATAAGATAGCTCAAGAAGGGCTTCGATAGGTAACCACAAGACTGGCAGTGACAGGAAGGAGTGGTCTGAATACTTGAACATGGCTTGGCGACTTCAAAACTTAGAGTCAAATGACAGTACTGGTCATGTGATATTATTCTTGTTTAAATAACTTACAACTTTGTTAACCTGAATCTGACACTCTCTAGCTTCTTAGCTTCTTCCCCCTCCTGACAAAAGCAACTGCTTTTATGAAAGCATTTTGAGAACACAGTTTCTTTAGACAGAATGGCTGCATTAGAGGTGTAGGGGCAATACCTTAAAGGAGTATTTGCGGCTTATGCGATCCTCAGGGGCCACAGGCGAGATCACGTAGCTGGGCAAGGGGATGCTCCCGAGGACCGCTTCTTCTCGGCTATCTTTGAATGGAAAAACGCATCAGAACAACCTTCTGGGCAGCTTCCCTGGGCTCATCCGTTCCACTGCTTCCAGAACTTCAGCCAAGTTGTTTCCTCCCCTTGTAATGTCCATCCTCCCCTGACCCACACACAGGCAAAGCTCTATCCATTCTTTTTTTTTTTTTTTTGAGATGGAGTCTCGCTCTTGTTGCCCAAGCTGGAGTTCAAGGGCACGATTTCAGTTCACTGCAACCTCTGCCTCCTGGGTTCAAGTGATTCTCCTGCCTCAGCCTCCCAAGTAGCTGGGATTACAGGCGCCCCCCACCATGCCCGTCTAATTTTTGTATTTTTAGTGGAGACAGGGTTTCACCATGTTGGCCAGGCTGGTCTCGAAGGCCTGACCTCAGGTGATCCACCTGCTTGGCCTCCCAAAGTGCTGGGATTACAGGCATGAGCCATAGCGCCCGGCCAGCGCTACCCATTCTTAAAAGCCTATCTCCTCTCTTTTTTCTAAGAAGCCTCCTCAGATTCTCCCATGATGGAATTCACTTCTCAGTCCCCCTGAACTGCTTTGAAAGCACCAATAGCAGTCTAGCCTTATCTTAAAAGTAAGCTCTTTCTCCGCATTTTGAGACCTCCCTCTTAATAACACGTAGTCCCTAACTTTATGTTCTGGGGCTCCACAGAAGCTCAGATGGCCAATTCAATTCACCAGTTGCCCATCCAATGTCCAATAAATCCAGATGACAGGTTACAAAATACAATCAATGATCCACACTTCTCATTTCTCCAGAGTACCTCAAAGGTGGACCTATGTCCCAAATGGGACAGAAACAGAAATGACTCTGAATCTTGAGACCCTTAGTAGCAGGCAAACTGGATTCTATTTACTTTAACCCAACAGACTGAACTTCCTGTGTCAGGACCGGTAAAACCGAAGTCACCAACCATCCACATATGTAAAACTAAACACTTTGGCAGGGTAATAAGCTACTTGTTAGCTCACCTTTATAGTAAAATAAGCAGTAATCAGCAAGCACAAACCACCTCCTTTTCCACAGCCTCATCCCAGAACTGTCCTGCAAAGCAAAGAAAACTAGTCAGGGTCATATCTGGGCATACTGTTGTCCCTTTCCAAGAATGCACAACCTGATTCCAGAACCAAATATTTGCCTATATTCACTCTTTCTTTTAATAAATAAAAACCATTTTATTGAATAACCATTCTTTGAATAGGACATTAGAACTTAGATTAAATAATGGTTTATCCTAAGGAAGCAGGGTTTTTATTTTTGTCTCCTAGAAACAAATTAATGTATAATATTATAAGCCACTTTCTTCTAGAAAGTAAATTAAGAAAGGAATCAGTTCTTAACAAAAAGGTTTTTGTTTGTTTATTATTTAGGTGGCTACGCTATCAAATACCTCCATTTATGCTGACTGGAAAACTGAATTTACATTGAACTATTAAAAAGAGTCTAAGTTACCTAATGAATTAAGTGAGGCAAAGTTCTCATTAGACTATGCTCAGTTCTGTGCCATATAGGATGTATTCTGCTGTTGTGTTTTCCTTCCATTCAATATAAAAGGATTTGGATTCTCTTTGCTATCAAATTGTCTCATAAGAAAAATCTGTCTTTACTCATCTGAAATGTAAATGTTTGTATTTATCAATAATGTTTTAAATTATTGTGAATATTTTTTTAAAACATGGCAAAGGCAGAAAAACAGAATGTTTTAGGGTGAGTGTTCTCTCAAACCTAGGAAAACCTCAGAGCATCTTTTAGTTTTAGAGATGGCTGTTCACATCTGTAATCCCAGTGTTTTGAGAGGCTGAGGCAGGAAGATCGCCTGAGGCTAGGAATTCAAGACCAGCCTGGGCAACATAGTGATACCCCATCTGTAAAAAAATTTTTTTTAATTAAAAAAATAGAGATGGCTGTTAAATTGTCTTCCTTCTGCAGAAGTTTTTGACAAGCTTGAAAAAAATCTAACAATTCCCAAACTGAAATACAACATGAGGATTGTTCCTCCTCTACTTACTAAAATGCTAAAAGCAAATTTAACTTGATGATTTCAACTGTTTATCAGTTTTATCTTCTGCAAATCAAGAGATGATTTCTAAGGTATTGGCACATGATATTTGCTTTGTCTGGAGACCTCTTATCTATGCTTCCATGCCTGGTTCAAATATCACTTCCTCCAGGAAGCCTTTCTGGACAACCCCCAGTATAGCCACTGTCTGTTGTGTGTCCACAGCACACAGATCCCTTTGGTTACAGTACAGCCAAAGGGCCTGGGCTAGGTGTTGGGAATTATTTACAAATACTTCCCTCTCTCTCCATATGTCAAAGGAGCATCCTTTGTTTAACGGGGACAGGGATGCAAACGGAAGAAGTCAGAGGGTTAAATGACTCAAGTGAGAAAAAGACATGGGCAAATGTAAGAAAAGAGGCAGGACAGGACTGTGAGGGGCAAGTGGGAGCAAGAGAGGGTGGTACCAGGAGTGTCCAACAGAAGAGGCAGGGAGCTGTTGCAGCTGCCATAGGGCCAGAGTTGCAGAGGAAGATTTTAAGGGGACTTTTGGGATTTCTCCTGTGTGCTATGCAATGTAATGCCCTCCTCTGTCTTCCCACAAAGCTTCACCAAAACTTACATTGCAGCTCTGACATTTTTGGATGCTATGCTAGGTGCGAGACGGGGCTGAGTGACAATGTGACAAGTGAGAGATATGCTATCTGCTTCTCCTGGTAGCTGATGAGTTCCTCAAGGGCAGGAACCACGTTACTTTCTCTTGATACTTGCTCTTAGCAGCTTAGGACGTGGCAGGCACTTTGCAGCATAGATGAATGAATGACCGTCAAGGAGAGAAGAGCAAAAGAGACAGGGTCTCTAGCTCTGGGAACTTACAACCCAGCCATGAACAGAGGACCCCAGGCAGGTCAACTGGCAGTAGGGATTCCAATGAAGAATGACCTCAGCCCACAGAGCCGACAAGACTTCCTGACTGAATGCATGTGGGGGAAGGAGGATCTGGTGATAATGCTGAGGTTTCCAACCTGAGTGCCTGGGAGAATGGTGGTAACATTACTAAGATCTGGAGAAAGCAGTCCTGGGGAAATGGCAGGCCAGGGTAGTGAGGAGATAATGAGCTGAATTTGGCTGAATTGGAATTTGAGATGCTAGGTGGATATGTATGCTAGACAAGGGGGAGAGGAAAAGATGAAAATTTTCAGCCAAATAATAACAAAGAATCTTTGACATCAGGAAGGCCAGGGCAAGTAGTGGACTGGCAGGAAGGCTGGATTCAGGCTGACCACCCACACTGTGGCCTGGACCCCAGGGCAGCCAATAGCACCAGGGGCCAAAGTGGTCAAGTGGGTTTTGGGAGAGAAGCTGTAACCACTGAGCAGACAGTTCACTCATAAGAACAAACAGCAAATAATGCAGTGCAGCAGGTAGAATCCAGCTGCCTCAGACAAACTCAGTAACAGAAAGCTTATGTGCCCGTCCCTAGCTTCCTGGGGACTGGGAAAGGAGAGAACTCAGTCAGAGCCATTTCCTCCACAATTCTCACTCCTCGGCATCCTCACCTGCTTGTGCAGCCAGCCCCTCACCACCACGGGAACATTGGGGTTCCTCCGAATGGCCTGGTCTCTCTTCCCAAAGCTGTGGACTTTATTGCTGGACTTTATGATCTACGAAAAAGCAGACTGAATTTTAGCAGCAGGGAATTTAAGGTGACATAAAAAAGCACTTGTATGTTAGGAGGACCGTCGGCTCTCTCTGCTTCACTCTAAACGGCAGCACCCTTTGATCAAATGAACAGCCAGGAGACAGGGAATGGGCGTGCACATGGCCACAGCATTCTAATTAAAAGGCAAGCCCACGACCTGCCAAACCTCCCAGCTGGGTCACAGAAAAAAAAATTAAAAGGAATTTTTCAATCAACTTTCAGCAGCAGTTGTTGGCTATAATATGTTCCGTGGTTTTCTGAAGCAAAGCTAATTTTTGGTCACAGCTTTTTGCCAATTTCCAGATATTTACCCTTCCTATCTGGGTTCATCCCTTGGCACTCTCCTCCTCTCAATGCTGGTTCTTTTCCCTGATCCTTAGTGTTTCTACACCTGGAGCACAAAAACTTCTGGGTCCTTCCCAAGGGCACCCTTTCTCAGGGCCTCATGTCACCAAATCTCTCCAGGCTCTCCTTAACACACAGCTACATGTAAACAGAAACGTGGCCCTCCCAGCCACACGAGGAAAGTGAAGAACATGCTCAAGGACCTAGACACCAGTGCTGGATCTGTCAGCAATCACCTGTTTTGTTGCCCAAGGGACATACCCCTCTTGGCCTCAATTTCCTAATCTGTCATTCGAGGAGAACACTTCTATGGGTCTCTCTCACAAAACTATAGTGAAGATCAAATAGACTGCTGGTTACAAAGGGGCTTGGCAAAATATAAAAGAGGGGAAGGAAGGAACAAGGGGCCAGGAGCTCACCTTGGGTCCAGGCTTGGCCTCCAGGGTGGAGGCGGTCCCAGCCGTGGATGTTTCACTGACCATGCTGGACGGTCTTTGGTTTCTCTCTTGCTTCGACATATGTGGATTTGGCCTGTGGGAAGACAGGGGATTCCAGTGAGTAAGAGCTGAGCTGCAGAGTAGGAAGTGCAGTAAGATCAGCTTCAGGTAGGAATTGTTGCTGGGCCTTAGAATGACCTAAACCTGATTGTTTGGAGGCTGCCTGACTCCAGACTGCAGCCAGAGGGCTGCGATGTCCAGCCTGCCCGTATGTTTCAGGGAATCAAGAGGATGACAAACAAGCACATCTCCACAGCCTGACACCCCAACAAAGGAGGACAGACTGTCATCCCTGCTGTTGTCTGGAAGTCCCCACACTCACTCTCTTAATCAGGTGTCTGTGACAACTGCCCCATCTGATGGGCATGCACAGATGTGCCACTCTTCTCAGCACGCAAGAGCAATCCATGCCCTCACACACACCTCCATTTCCCTGGCTCCCAAAAGAAGCTGTTTATAATTAGTAACAAGAAATCACTTGGCGCACACAACCACACCCCCAGATACACACAGAGAATCCCTTACATAAATGCCAGTGGGGCTTGTCTCCCAAAATAGACTACTCAACAAAGAGTACTATTCTGGGAACACTCCATTTGCCCCAAAATAGAGCTATCAGAGATATTAACCCATTGTGCTATGCCTGGAGAGCAGGAAGAAATGAAATAAGCCTTGGGCCTCCAGTAAGAATCTCTGGGGCTTCCCCATTAGCATCCCAGACACATGGAAATTCCCACCAAGAGGCTGCCCTGGGATGGCCAACTCTCTGGGAGCATCTTAGTGTGACACTCAAGAGCCACTGAAGAGTCCTCCTCACCTGCCTCCGCAGATACCCAGCATTTGCCAGTCTTTCAAGGCAGTGGTGACAAATCCCTCCACACAAATCCAGTACCTATTCCTGGACAGCTGGATGCCTGATGCCAAGACCCTGCTAAGTCCAGGATCAGCAAGCCTTCCTCAAAGTGGAAGTCTCCACGTTCTGTCCACTGCTCCGATAGGCAACAGAATCCAGGTCATTGGAGACCAGGCAGACCACAGAAAACTGAGGCTCTTTGCCTGAAGAGTGGAAAAAATCTGCTTTGGAGGCCTGGGCAAGGACCCTGAGGAGATGGAGCTAGAGGATCCAGGCAGGACGCAACTGACGAAGCAGCATTCAGAAAGTCCTTACACGAACACTTTTAGAGCGCTGCAATGAGGGAACATCCTAGTTTCCACCATGGAAATATACTGTTTTCTTCGAAGACCCTGCTGCTCAAAAGATAAGTGATCCTTTCTGTGCCCTGAGACAGAGCCCAATATCCTACACCACAAGGGAAGTTCTCTGCAGAAGTAGCCGTGACTACTGCACTTCCCAAGCAATGCCAGCAGCAGGACCACTGTAGCAGACACCAGCTTCCCAAAGGGCTGGGCCCTGTGGGATGCTTGGCAGCTGGAGACGCAAGTCCTACCAGGCAGAAAGAGCACTGGCTCCTTATCAGCTCAGACACTCACTCCAGATTCCACGCCCCCGGCCTCCAACCCAGCCAGACTTTTGTTGCTGCTCCCCACTCAGAGGGAGAATGTCACCACATTTGCTGTTGGCAGAGGCTGTATGCAACAAGATAACTGCTGATCAGGGGCAGGAAGGCGGCCCAAAAGGCTGCCTTGTCCACCCCCTTTCTCCAGACAGAACTATGTCCAAAACATCCCGGAACCTGGTCTTGCCTGACTCTTCAGACTTCTGGAGGGTCAGACAAGGAAAAAGAGCTCTCAGGTTGCTTCATTTATGGCAGCTGTACCTCTAAGCTAAAATTCAGGATACAAGATCCAACGATAAAAAAGATTTCTTTGAAAAAAAATTTTTTTTTTTTTTTTGAGATGGAGTTTTGCTCTGTTGCCCAGGCTGGAGCGCAGTGGCATGATCTCGGCTCACTGTAACTTCTGCCTCCTGGGTTCAAGTGATTCTCCTCCCTCAGCCTCCCAAGTAGCTAGTATTACAGGTACTTGCCACCAAGCCCAGCTACTTTTTGTATTTTTAGTAGAGATGGGGTTTCACCATGTTGGCCAGGCTGGTCTCAAACTGCTAACCTCAGGTGATCCACCTGCCTTGGCCTCCCAAAGTGCTGGGGTTACAGGTGTGAGCCACAGCACTCGGCGTGTTTGGGATTTTATCAAATGTAATTTATTCCCACTTAAGACATTATAGGCTTATTACAGAATATTTGAGAAATATAAGAAAAAAACTGAAAAAAAAGAAAAAATGGAGAGAAAAACATCACCCATAGTCCAGCTACTGAAAGGAAAACCATTTGTAACACTTGGTATAGTTACATTCATCCTTTTTATATGCCTGGGTTTTCTGCAGGGGAAGGGGGTGGAAAAAGGGTGGTTTTTTGTTTACATATAATCAAAATTATATATGTGACTTTACATCTTTATTTTTAAAACTTATTGTAATGTAAATACTTTCTCCATTAGTTTAAGACAGTTCAATGTCATTTGAAATAACTGCATCATATTCCATCAACTAGATGTGCCATTCCACCTCAGTAGGACAAAGAAAAGACCATCTGGATTTGTGACTGGTCAGGAAATCCAGGACAAATAGCTACTTTTGCCATTTTTACACCTTACAATCTTTAACAATTTTTTTTTTTTTTTTTTAAGACGGAGTTTCGCTCTTTTTACGCAGGCTGGAGTGCAACAGTGCAATCTCGGCTCACTGCAACCCCCGCCTGCCAGGTTCAAGTGATTCTCCTGCCTCAGCCTACCGAGTAGCTGGGATTACAGGAACGTGCCACCACACCTGGCTAATTTTGTACTTTTAGTAGAGAGGGGGTTTCACCACATTGGTCAGGCTGGTCTCTAACTCCTGACCTCAAGTGATCCACCTGCCTCAGCCTCCCAAACTGCTGGGATTACAGGTGTGAGCCACCACAGCCAGCCTAAAAAAATTTTTTTAAACCATCTCACCAGTGCAGTATGAAGAACCGTATAATCTTGACATTTAACTTGACACCCCCCAAACCCGCATATTCTGACCCCACGTCTCCTCCCCACCCTAGGTTCTGGGATGCTAGCTGGCTGGGGAGCTACTCCCAGCCAGTAATATGGAAAGAAAAATGACTTCCCTGCAGCCTTGGTAAGTGAGGAAAGAGACTACAACTCCCGCCTAGGGAGCCAGGTATAAACAGATTTTGGCTAGAGAATGACTGGTTATGGCCCCAACACTGGACATCAGTGAGGGGCAGTGATGGGCAAGGAGTGGGAAAAGAATAGGAAAACACACATGAAGACAGCTTGACTCCTCATGATCTATACCGCTCAGCCACACTCATAGAAAACTTATTAGGAGACGTGACTAAAGTTCAAACTACATATGCCCCAGGGAAGGGACTGTGTTGTCTACAAACAGGGAGGATGTCTTTACCAAGGCCCCCCATGAGCAGTGACAGCTCCCAACTCAAGGCATAGACTCAATTCATACTTGGCATCCCTGACCTGGCTCTTTGAAAGGACAAGGCACACACAGCTACCCACTTGTCCAAGTAACAAGGTCAGCCTTCAGAGGATGTTTCTTTGAAGCTCTCAATGTAGAACATGATCTCTCGGTTTTCTAAGGATGACTATGACTTTTGGAAATAACTAAAAGTTATCTGGAATTACAACTAGTTAAAAATATGGTGGTCATGCTTGGGGATACCATCTGGTATCCAAAAGCAGGGATATGAAAAAAGTTTCAAAAACAATTTTCTCACTTGGCTGAAAACCTGGCTCTGATGGAAACTTCTAGTGGTGGTTTACCGCAATGGGTAATGAGCAATGGGACATCAACAGTGCATGTGTATAGCCTCCCGAAGAGACAACACTGAAAGGAACATCCCTCACTTGGATGCGGGCATTCTGATACATTTGCTTCAGCCAGTTACATCCCACAGGCATGTTTCCCAGTAAGAGCCTGGTGGGGCAGACAATGATTTGTCCTCAACTCCTCAGAATGAGTGTACTCTGCTGACGAGCCTCACCTAAGAACAGAGTCTCATCTAAAAACCATCTCCTCTTCCCAGAGAAGAGCCTGTCCCCCGAGCTGAGCAACCTTGAAAGGCATTCAGTTGCCAGCAGCGTGCCCTCAGGCACAGAGTCACAGAGACCCCTGGGAGAGGAGACCTAAAAACCTGCACATGCAGACTGCTGCTGTCCTCAAATAAAACCTATTAACTTAAAAGCCTGTTTGCCAGGTTTCTGTTATCGGAAATCCCAAAGTACAATGGGATGATTTGAACAAAGACTTCCCTCTCCCTGGTTTCGGCTACATGAATGCTGATTATTTTGCTGGAGGGATGTGGGCTGAAGATGAAAACAGTGAGCTAGAGTTTGAACCCAACCTCCTCCCATCTGAAATGAACAGAAGAACTTAGGACTAGACAAAATGAGTCTGGAGATACCCAGTTGGAAAGTGACTTGATTTTCCTCTGAACTTTGTCAAGGATGTGTGCAGTGAGCCTGAGCAGGAAGACACTTTCTCTGTCCCTATCTATAAAAGGAGTGCTTCTGCTTCCTGCATATTCAGGACTAAATGCATATGACACTGACAGATGTAGTAAGAGAGGTTACAGATACAGAAGCTTTTTTTTTTCTGTTGGGTCTGAAATTAGGTGGGTTTTGTCAATGGGATTTGGTTAATGGGAGCCTCTCAATCAACAGTGTGAGCTGAAGCAGAATGAAGGAATCAGAGCAAGATATCTCTGATGCTGCAATAAGTGGTAACCAAGACAATGATCCCCACCTCTTCAGGACAGGTACACAGAGTCAAGCAAGCAGAGGGATTAGGCTGTACTTGTTGAGCACCTACTGCATGCATGCCAGGCACTTGGCCTGCATTATCTCACTTAACCCTGCCAAGTCAGTTTTAGTATCTCTATTTATAGAGGAGGAAACTAAGGCTCATAGAGACAAATAACTTATTCGAGATAGCAATTGGACTCCAAAACCTGGGCTTTGCCACAGAAAGACCCTATGGCAAGTCCCAAGGTCTGAGAGAAGCAGGCTTTTGCT